GACATAATATACTATGAGTTTAAAAGCTAAACAAATGGTGTTTGAAGTTATGAATACTTAGAAGGAGGAGAATCATTGAGAAAATAATAAGTAGTTCAACGAAGGGTTTCTTTTAGGCGAATTCATTCACTTACCTGTACAGCACTAAGCGGATATAATTACTTGCATGTATGTGTGTACATTCAGTTTGTCAAACACAGCACAAGAATAAGAGTTAGTGTTTTAGAATAAGTTTGTAGGGATTCGATTTGCTTCAAAAATGTGATTAGAGAACCACCGGAAAATCAGAGACTACTGAATAGCTGTTTCGTCCTAGTTTCGAGTGTTTCATCAGTAAAAGCCGCTAGGTTTCGAAACTTTCGGTTACCGGGTAAGCTTGTAGATGATTCAGATAATGGGATCCGACCCTAAAAGTTCTATGAGTTCCAACTTGTATCAATTTGTGATTTAAGTGCAATCACCCATCAATGTGGGTGCCCGTTAGTGTCTTGCTACAGGCCGAAGTGTTCTACAGTTCTAGTGAGAAGTCATCGCTGGCAGTGGTATCCATTCGTTCGGGCGTGAAGACAAATACTCGTTGATGATATTGGTTGGCGGTAGCGCTACAAAAGTTACGAATTGATGGAATTTAGAATTCATGGACGATTGAATTGCTTCCCAATGGCTGAATGAATTATGGGGTTGACTTGAAATTGGGAGGTCCTGTGTTCGAGCCCCGGTGAATGCTGTCCAGTATTGTCCTGTTTTTAATATTTCTCTAACTGATATCAGTCCTTGATTAAGCTTGAAATTTCAGAATAATCATGAATGATCAACTTGTAACTAGGGGGTTAGGATTGGTAAGTGTATACTGGAGTTGCCTACTTTGAAAAGCGTTTAGGAAAGTTGTATCTTCAGGGGGAAATATGGATAAAAGTATCAAAATAAATTATCTTGTAAGTGGAGAGTGAGGAGAAAAGATTTGTTGAAAAAATTATTTTTTTAATGAATCTTATACGAAAAATAACAAAAATCATACTAGCAGCAGTCGAACTTAGAATTATACCTGGGGTAAAATTCGGAAAAGAAGTTTTCTCTGTCTACACTAATCTCTGAGGCCTTCATCCACTGAAAAGTGTCTATTTGCTGAACTGTTCGCTCTTATTTTTCTATCTGGATAAGCATTCGTTGAGAATAACTGAGGACTAACTCAGCATGCGTTCTTGTATTCATACTGCATTAACCACTCTTGATTGATTGTCTTGAGAAGTCGTGACCAGTAGGGTGCAGCAGGTCGGGTATGAGGACAAATACTCGCTGAAGACTTTGACTAGCGGTCACGCTATATCATGAATTGGCAGAAGTTAGAATTCATGGGCCATTGGATCGGGTCTCAGTGGCTCAGTTGTCTACAAGCTAGCTGGCCTTCTAACCAAAAGGTCTTGGGATCGAATCTCAGTGGGTGTGTACTGTTGAAGAGTCCTAAACTAGGAGGAAACAGCTGTCCAGTACCCCTGCAGGTTTTCCAGTGATTTTCTAACCAATGTCAGCTCATGATGAAATCCTGTAGCTCTTGATTTTCTCCTAAGTATGATAATAGTATATGGTATAAACTCAATACAGCCATCAGTTTAAGCCTGATTTGTTCACCTTAAGGTCGTATATATCATGAATAAATTTTAAAATATTACTTGTGCTCAATTCATGATGATTTATTCATTTATAGTCAGCTAATATTTGCATAAGATTTTGGGTTTTAAAATTCATGCAGAATAAAACGACCTTTCTACAATATAAACAACTAGACCAATGGGTAAACATGGATGGATTTCTATATTTCTAGATGGATTATAGTTGTGATATAAGCTCACAGTTAATAGGATATTAGAGATTTTCTCTCAGATGAATATAAATTAAGGAAATTAGTGGTCGAATCATTCGTTCATGTACATAAACAGATGGGGAGATATACTTATTATTGTTATTATTGTGAATGTTTATCAAAATCTTTCGATCAGGTAAACATTTTAGCCATTAAACTAACTAACACGACACAATGGCAAACCACTTTTAGATTGTTTGTTTATGATAAATTAACCCTGAAATGAATCATGTTTTGATGAATATAGAGTGGAACATAATAGTGGATACAAATGTGATTAAACTGTGTTTTTGTTTATATGGGTCAACGATAACTAAACAGTTTATGAAACTACCAGGTTGTTAATTCATTTTTGATATAAAGATTTAATTGTCTGCCAACAGAGAAAGTCTTATTTTCTTTCAGTCATTGACTAAAATGCTTGATGCTGCAATTGGTTAGTGACATCTTTCATGTATGAGCATATGGACGACATTTTGTATTCATAGTTGTTGTCAATGGACGTGAACATTGAACGTTTTATTTATTGGCGCTGGTAGCTATTGGTGGGCAACTCGAAGGCGCGAATGGTACAGTCGTGCACAGGTTCGAAGAAGACGAAATAATACGAATAAAAGTACATTATATTTCGTATAAAACATTTGTTTATGGACTTGTATTTATCTTAACTTTAATTGCCAAACAATATAACTTTCGAACGCGTACTGGTGTTTGGGAGTTAAAGTCGAGAAAGTTACATAGTAATTATCGCGACAGAGCGTCTTCGTAGCAATAGGAACTTAGGGTTAAGTTCCTTGACAGTTGTTGTTGTTGTTGTTGTTGTATATGCGAATTAAGAACACATTTACATGCTTATTGGATTTCGCTATTTCTATCCCGTCAAAACAGAGGAGAATAAGCACTAACATCAAGCTTCAGTAAGGCAAGAAGGATAGGTGTTCCAGGATAAAAATATGCGCTCATTCCTTATTATTTCGAGTTTTCATCTGAGTTCTCTGGAAACTAAACAACACAGATTACATAAAAGATATGAACATACTTTCTACCTGGTGAAAAGATATAACTGACTGGAGCTGTGGGTAACATAGGTACAGAATGATGTAAATTATTAAACTATTAGAAGTTAAAATGACTAACTGCTTATAAGGTAGTTAGACAAATATACGTGAAAATGGCAGAGTTCAGTGGTAAGATGCTCACTGACTACTCATATGGTCCTATTTTGAATCCAAGCCGACATATGTCTAAACTTTTGCACCTGATGGTCTTGATATATTCTAAGCACGGTAAAGAGGTAAGTTTGGGTGTGAAGCTAGCAAGTCCACCCTGTAAAACGCCATTGTTACTGAAAAATTCAAAAGTCAAGCTTGAAGTCCTATGTTTCATTTGGAGTGCAGAGGAATTTAAAAGAAAGGAGTCTTTTTTATCGTGTATATTTGCCTGATTATCCTATGAACAGTTAATCATTTCAACTCTTTTAACAATTTATATCATTCTGAACTTATGTTACATATAGTTTCTATCGATCACTCTTTGTCATCATGTAAAAAGTGTGTTCAAATTTTCAGTGTAATCCATATTTTTATACTGTTCAGGTTTTAGCCAGTCGGGAATCAACCGCAAAATATCAAAGTATGAGCTCATATTATCCTGGTACATTTATTTGTTCAAGTTTACTGGTGGGAAGAATTGTATGAATTTTTTAAAGACTGAAAAGAGCAAGAAGTTCAACAAAGATATCTTCTCGGCGATTTCATTCTCAAAAGCTGTACAATCGCATTTATATAGATTAGTTCACATGGATACAATTATTATTTGTTTAATTCCACATAGTAACGAAGGTGATGATAATTTTCAACCTGATATGAAAGTATGAAGGTACAAATATAGATTACAAGGGGCTTAGAGACAAAATTTCATAGGATTAGAAAACAGTTACAACGTATGCAAATTAATATTTGATAATTATTATTAAATTATTTCTCTAGCTATCAAATATTAATCTTCCAAACGTTGTAACTGTTTTCTAATCCTATGTAATCTTGTCTCTAAGCTCCTTGTAATCTATGCTCGGGGCTTCAAACTTTCATATCAGGCTGAAAATTATTATCACCTTCGTTACTATGTGGAATTAAACAAATAATAATTGTATCCATGTGAAATAATCTATATAAATGCGATTGTACTTCTTTTGAGAATGAAATCGCCGAGAAGATATCTTTGTTGAACTTCTTGTTCTTTTCCCCCTAATGTTCCGATGGGTATTTTCCACGATTTTTTTAAGACTCCTAATATTCCTGCGTGAGACAATGCTGGGAAACGAATGCCATAGGGCAAACTCTAGTTTACACCTTCAATTATAACTGTTTACAATAAATCCTATATTTAACTGAGCGTATGTAGCGCGTAAACTAGTTTTAGAAAATAGATGAACATCCAAAAATAGATTTCTTCTTGCGCCTTTCATCTGATAAAACAATCACTTGATATATTTGTAGGCTATTCACAGAATAAAATCTGTGAACAGTTCTAGTTGATGTACTTTCATCAACTGATAGGAATCGTAGGCCATCTTGAATTGACTATCACTCAAAATGTTTGACAGTTATGGGCTGTTTCTGTAATTTCACCACCTAGAAGATGTATGATTCAATTGTATTAGAGGCTGTGGAATGGAATTACATCTACATTCTAATTACAAACATTTTAGTTTTTAATTGTGTTTCATACTATTATTATTTCATGTATTCATACCTTTGACCTAATTCCCTCACCGGATATAATTTCTTTATAAAACCATATATATATATACGATTGTACAGCTTGATGATAAATTCGTTGAAAAGAGTTTCTTCGCTGAATATTGTGCTTCTAATACATCTACATTCGACGTAATGCAAGTTGCATCACATTTAGTCTACTTACTGGATTTTAAAGAATCAAGCAAGCATATTTTTGATACTATCTGAGTGTGAATAATACACTCATAATCAAACTGGTGTTTAGATGGGTAATTGGAGAATTATTTTAACTGTTAGCTTGCACTGGACGCACTTGATATTTAAGTGCGAAAATGTCTTTGCTATAATTATATTACCTGAAAATTTAGAATTAGCAAAACAAAAACAAAAGAGAAGCATTCTGTCAATCACACTCCTATATGGGTTTATGTACACATGCTTTTAGAATTTATCTAAAAATATGGTGAAATGAAGAGAAAAAATTGGATAAGACGAAGAAGCAGAAGAAGAAAAGGATCGATGGAGAAGAATATACAGGTATGAATCTGTTCCATAGTTAGTGACTTGACTAAAAGAAATGATAGAAGGGTGGTTATTTTTGTTTGTTCGTTTATTTTTAATTTTGATAAAGTGAAAAGAAATGAGGAATTAAGAAGAGTGTTGTGTGTGTGTGTGTGTACATTCTGCACTTTAGTTATGTTCAAATGAGGTTTTTTTTGCATAAACTGTTTTTGAGGTTTTGAGGAAGACATTTCAGTGTTTCCTTCCGACTCAGTGGACGCGTCGGTAATTTACATATACAGAATGGGAGACAAAAAGAAAATAGGGTATGAAAAGACTACAAGACAATGAAGAGTTAAGAATACAAAAGTATAACAAAAGAAAATTGGTGTCTACTGACAAAAATTTGTTTGTTTTTTTGAAATTTAAAACAAAAACATTTGAACTATTTTGTTCGATTCTATGCGAAAAATAAATGGAAATCAAATAATCAGAGTAGTTAATGTTGTTTGAGTTAGTTAGTAAGTTAGTTGTTTACTTAGCTAGTACAAAAATGAAAATAAGACTGGTCTAGTTTTGTACTCATTTAAAAATGTTATTACAAATTTAAAAATGTAGCCAAAGTTAGATACTTTTACGAATAGCTCTTTCATTATCATCATCATCATTGTCATCTTGAGGACTTTTTACACTATCTACAACAACATTGTCCGATGAACTTATTAAAGACTTCTTTTCATCATCATCAATAAATTGACAATCTACAGGAGAGACAACTTCATCTTGTCTACGTAAACATGATTTGGAGGGTGATGCATAAGGATCTGGTATTTTAATTAAATTAACACTCTCTGTAAGATTACAAGTATTAAGTAAATCATCTAGATAAAGTTCATCTACGGATTGTTGAGGGTGATACTGCTTGTTGATTTCTTGAAGTTTAGGTCGATCATCATCATTATCACCATCATCATCAACGACTGCGCCTAAACAGCTTTCTGAAAAAGTGGACATTACTCGTCCACTTGGGATTAAATTACCTGAAGATGTAGACTGAAGAGGATAGGTATGCTTGTTGTAGGTTGGTGGAAGTTTATCACTACTACAAGAGAAATGTGGTTTTAAAGACATCGGGTGCTGATACTCTTTACTCATAGGTTCACTATAATGATATGCACTAGTGTTAGGTGTTTCATACTCAAAACTTCTCCATCTTTCATTTGTCAAGGCAAGTGGAGAGCTGACAATACGTGAATTTCTTTCAGATTTAGGTAGCCGCTGATTTGCAAATCTTATATATGGTTTATCACGGATTGTATATCCATCATCGTCTTCTAGTAATTGTACCTTTTGACCTGTTGTTGACGTCATCAAAGATTTTTGTTCATGATATGGCTTATCTTGTGTATCAGAATACTGTACATACTTTTCTTGTACATTTTTCTCTCCACTTCGGAGTAGGCGTTTACCAACGACACCAGTATTTCCCATTTGACCATGATATTTTATGAAACGGTCGGCTTTATACAAATTAATCAATCTGTCAAGTTTCATTTCAACTGTATCAATCTAAAAGGGATATAAAATTGCAAAGAAATGAGTAAAAAATATTACTAGAATTTAGGTGAATATTGAAAATAAATCAGACGTGAGGTAAATTCATTATCGATCACAAAACGACACTGCAAGATCTGCACTTCACGGGTGATTCATGTTAAATATCTCACAAACAAAAAGATCTACAGGCAAAAAGCAACAATTTACCGGAATAGACATGCTGTGAAGACAGAGGTCAGAAAGACGCGTGCCCACCACCAGCAACAAGTAGTAATTATCATCAGTGGGAGAAATTTGAAGGATGTCACTACTTTCACTTATTGAGATGGCACCGTGTCAACTGCAGTTGGCACAGATAATGATGCCAAAGCCAGACAGGATTGGAAAGACGAAAAAGACATTTACTACTGTGAAATCATTTTGGAATTCGACTGCAATCAGCATAAGGAACAAGATTAAAGTGTTCAAATCTATTGCGAAGTCAGGTGTTTCATATGGCTGAAAAAGGTGGAGAGCAGTTAACAAAAAGCGTTTCCAACAGGTTGACATAGACTTCCTCTATGCTGAAGATCAGCTTTTTGGTCTTGAAGGAGAAGAAATAAGGAACTGTAGAAGAAAGCAAGTCAACTAGGAACCTATTACTGAACAAATATGCACAGATAAACGGGTATGCATTAGATACACGTTCAGTGGCATCACGTACCAAGTCGTAAGTGAAAACTGAATGTGGAACAACGAGTTAGGCGTCCCAGTATGATATCGTGGCGGCCATGTGAAAAAGAAATGAAAGCTTTTGGGCAAATCTGGGTTCAGCATATAATCAATAAAAAGAACAGTGTGAAATCCAGACGTGCTACAGAAGTCCCATGTTGTGATACGAACCCAATGGAATAATAACAATAATTATTACAGAATAATAAGGACACTACTGAACTCTGGTGTAGAGGCTGTTTATTAACTGTTCTCCAGTCAATTCTGAATTATGATTGCGTAATCAAAATGCTAAGGATTTTCAGAATAAAAATGAAATATCAGAGATATAAGAATCGCTTTATGAAATTTTTTTAGTTTTCATGTTTCTGTAAACACTATTCGAAGCAAAATGATTTCTTATAAATGCTTTCCTGTTTACAAACTACTTTTCAAACATTTTAGAAGCGTCTTTACTGAATAAAGTAAAACTGAAGTCATTTTAATATGAAGTAAGTTAATTTGTGGAGGAATTATTAGACGATGGAGTATATCTCAAAAATGCGGTATACATGAGCAGCTTTAGATAAATTTCACTTTTTAACAAATAAAACTAGGAAGATTTAGCAAAGTGTCTAAATATTATGAATTCTGAAATTAAAGAGTATTCGTTTTTTGATCGCTTTACGCGAAACCATTCTGTAATGGATACATTTTTTACTCAAAGCTTCAATAATAATCATAATTTGCTTTATTCCAAAACAGTACTTGTGATGCTGAATAAAATTCTCAGCATTTCACTACAGTATTCCATCCAGTTAGTACATTAACAATAAGTAAAGTTCTACATAGATTAAGGGTAATGTCAGTTAGTTTTGACAACAACATATTGGCATATCGGTAGCAAAGCCAACATTGAACAGAGTGATTGAAGGTGTTAGAAAAGTAGATACTGGCATATTCACTGGCATAAGCAGAAGAAAGAAACAAAGAAGCACATAACAGAAAAAGAGAGAGAAAAGGAAAAGAAAGAAAGAAAACGATGTACCTATAAATGATATGAGTTGGAAAGACAAAATCCAATTGTTCTACTAACTGTTTAATAAGTTACAGGTTTCACGCCTAATGCTTTCTTTATCAGACAGAACACGAGCTAAGTAGGGTATGGTTGAGTTTTGCACTTGCTAGTGCGAGAATATGGTTTTGTATATAGGCTTCTGGTTGTGCCTGGTGAGATACAAGGGCAGAGTTGTTATCTAGGTGAGTATTAAGTGGTCTCCGCTCACATAGTCGGCAACACATGTACATATATTCATGCGTTTACGGATTGACTAACTACCAAATCCACTGATAATTTGAACTATAACCTTGAGCCTTGGAAGGCCTGTGGACACCTTGACTATTTCACAATGAGCAGTTGTCAGTAGAATCTAAAGAATTTACACTATATATCCAAACATGGCATATACTGCCTCTTTAAAAGTTGTTTATTTATTTTTCTTTTGTGAAAGTAAACGATCATAGTCTTTATTCTTACCAACGATAGAGTATTTATCGACTGTCACTCCGGTTAAGTTTCATATCCTACCTACTTCAATAATGGGGTTTACGGGGATTAGGTAAAACAGAAGACTTTGGACATGTATGACTTATTACGCTATGCAATAAATCATCTTAGAGTTGTAAGTAATTTAATTATGATTATGATTATTATTATTTATGCATAGAAAGAAAGTGATTCCAACCTACCTTATGCTCAATTTTCACAATTCTTGAAGCTAAACACAAATGTGAATCATAGACATCATCATTTTTTGAACCAGGACGTCCTAGAATTTGATCCAACCTAGAGCATAAAATATCCAGTCATGACTGTAGAACAAACACCTTGTTTTGTAAAATGACATGTGGTTTATAAATAATTAATAAACAGTATGTGTATATGACGTAAATACATAGACTAGCGGAATACATCTCTAACTGTCTTGAAAATGTGGATAAGCATTAATTTCTCCTTTGATGTCATCAAAATCTATGGCAATCTGTTTAATAATTAATAGTTGCTTTATCTGAGCTGAAAGAAGTAATAATTTAGGTGTTTTCAAAAAGTCTATGGTTTAATGCTTTATTTGTCATAAATAATCTCTGAAACTTGGAGATATGAAACCAAAATATAATATCAGTAAGAACTATGCTTTAAGTATACAATATTCTGATTTCAGATGGTCTTGATTAGGCGCGATTCATAGAACTATGCGGAGGCGCAAAAAGCCCAACATTTTGGGGGACTTTTCTTATTCGGGCCCACAACTACACTGAATACCAAGTTTAGAATCACTCATTTACGAGATCAGCACTTCGATTCTTAAATTCTGAATGTGTAGATTAGTTTGCGGTTTACACATTTCATCCAACAGTAGTACGATAGGGCTACATGCCAAGTAATCCACAACAAGAAACTCACGGAATCCTTCGAGGAAGTGAAGACGGGAGTAAGTCAAGGCTGCCTACCATCTCCAATGATTTTCATGATTGCGGTAGACTGAATAATGCGACAGACATCGGGCAACGACGAGAAAGGCATAAAATGGACCCTTACGAGGAACTTGGAGGAACTGGACTTCGCCGATGATATATGTCTGATTTCCCACAAACTGGAAGATATCCAAGTGAAAAGCAACAAGCTGGCAGAAGAAGCATCAAAGATAAGACTCCAAGTAAACATGGATACAACAGAGGTGATGAAGATTCCTGGCCAACACCAACGGCAACAACAACAGACAACAATCAGCCAGCATAAATGGGGGAATCTGAAAGAAACAACCTCCTCTACCTACCCACCGACCTAGGAAGCATCGTTTCAACTACAGGCCGACGGAACTGACGAGGATATCAAAGCCAGAATCGGAAAAAGAAAACAAGCTTTCATTACTCTTAAGTCTGTGTGGAGGTCAACAGCACTCAACATCAGAAATAACATCCGGATTTTCAACTCCAATGTGAAGTCAGCTCTACTCGCTATACGGATCAGAGACTAGGCGCGTCATAAAGAGCATCTCAAACGAACCGCAGACCTTCATTAACAGTTGTCTTCACTCAATACTCAAGATCAGATGGCCGGCCAGAAATGATCAGCAACAGAGATCTCTGGCGATGAGCGAACCAACCAGGAACCGATTGTGAAACAAATAGGCAGGAAGAAATGTAGGCAGGTGGATTGGCCATACTCTGAGGAAACCATCATGTGACATCGCTAGACAAGCCATCGTTCGAGTGGAGCCCGAAAGGGAAGTGGCGAGTTGGTGGTCAGTGCGAGGGTGACTTGGAGGAGGTCGTGTGTAGAGGAGATGACAGTATGTGGGCAGACTTGGAGCCAGGTGAAAACTCTAGCAGAGACTCGAACGCAATGGAGACGCGCGGCTGAAGCCGTATGTTCCTCTAGGAACTAAAGGAAATAATAATAATTACACAGTTCCATGCAAACTTTCAGTTTCCAGAGGAAACCAAAATTGTTCAGGTTACAGTATGTGATCTGCTTGATACTGCAAGCAGCAATCAAAGCAGTAAGCACAGTTGCACGAAACCATATACTACTGAATGATATATATGAGTAGCTGCATACCTCTAACATGAAGAAAACGGAACTGTGATGAAATTTCATCTCAAACTGGGTAGATTACAGAATAATTTACGGATTGGGAACTTAATCTATGAAACTATCAGTTCGCCCAACTAGCCAGTCAGAAATCAGGTGGTTTGAACTGACAGATCTTTTTAAGCTGAGTCACAACAGGTACACTGCTGATGATAACTGGGTCGCTATATGAGTGAAGTTGCCTTCCAGTGTTTAGATTACCTCAGTCCTGCTGATGCGAGTGGTATTCAACTACTCATATCAATTAGTCAGTCATTAGTATACAGTTGTGTGAAACTATTTTGCCGTCGGTGGCACAGTAGTTAGGACTCTAGCCGACCATGCATATAGTCCGGGGTTCGAGCCCAGGCCGACTCACACCTGATATCTATGGTTGGCCTGCAAAATTTGGGCTACCGATATCCATGCTGAAAATTCCATACTTGTACCAAAAATACGGTGTGGAATCAAGCTGTAATAAAAAAAAAAAATTCCTAGCTGAAAAGTTCATGATTTTTTGATTTTGCTAATCAAATCAATGCTTATTTACACAGTCGGCAGTATTTCATCTGGAATGTGTGTATCACTTGTCGTTTAATTCTCAAACGCATAAATTTTAATTTTTTGCTGAATAAAACAATTCCGATCAAATATTTAAAAAGGTCGGGACCTTTAGAAGTACTTTTTAGTTCAATCGAAGAGATATTTGTTTTACTTTAATTATGATGTTTGAAAATTATAATACTCTGTGCTTCATGAATAATATTTTTATGCACTTTAGTGGACACTACAAAACTTGTGGGTGGTAGTATACATCTGAGGTTAGTATCTTGATTTTTGTTTTTTTCTAATTTTCCCTTTAATGAATTTGAACAAAGCGATCAAAAATCTATAGACATCCCTGCCATATTAACTCCAACTGTATATGCAAATGTACGTGTATCTGTGGGAGCAGTTACATCGGAAGGACAGAAAGAAGGGTATGTGTATGATTTTCTGAATATGTACCTAAAGCTTTCTGTCTAAAGGGAACAAATGCTTCAAACAGTGCCATCGTCAGGCATTCCCTTGACGCGGGTCATAAAGTGAATATCGGAAAATCTTTCAAAATTATCAGAAGGCGAATGAGCTCAATTCTCCTCAAGTTCACTGAAGCCATTTCCATCAAGCGACTGAAACCTGATTTATGCATCCAGAAAGAAGCAGTTATCAGTCTTTCTTTGCCCTGGTAATTGGATATTTTCATCTTTCTTTCATCTGAATGCGTAATATCGAGAGCTTTCATTGTGTATGATCATTATTGTTCGGTACGGTGTTTAATGTTATATATATATATATATATATATATATATATATATATAATTACTGTATGCACATACTGATCACTTGATTTTTGTTTAAAATGAACTCTGTGCAAGCATGTTGAAATCGTGTCTGTAGATATATTTATTAATGGCTTTGGCCTGTAAGCAGCTAATGAGAAGGCAACGAAATAAATGGTAATACCATTTTATTCTGCAAAAACTAGAGTTCTAGCTTTATTCAAATTTCAAGAGTTAGTTTGTAGTGGGTGTGATTTGTTTCAACTTTAATCACAGGTTGATATTAGTTAGAGCACCATTGGAAACCAGGAAGTACCAGACAGCTAATTTATCCTACCTTGGATCTCTTCAGAAGTACGCACACATGACCTCATCAGGGACCGAACCGAGGGACTTTAAGTTTGAAGAGCTAAGCTCACTGACACTTCACATACTTGAGCCGTTGTCTAATGACTCATTAATTCTAACTTCTACCAATTTTTGATTTTAGCGCAATTGTCAGTCACTGTCTTCGGTGAGTATTGGTTCTTATACCCAACCTCGTGGACCCCATAGGTCTCGATTTTTCACTAAAATTCCGTAAACCTCGTCCTGTAGGCAGTCACTTGTGAGTATTTGAATAATTTTCTACGAGGTCAGGTGTGAGGACAGATACTTACAGGTAACATTAATGGGTGGTAACACTGAAGTGACGAATTGGTAGAAGTTGGAACTCATGGATCATTAGACCGGGTCCCAGTGGTTGAATGGCTTGTGAGCTTCTGCATAAATAAAACATTACTCGAGTATTGCTGATATTCTTGTTGAATTACATAAACAGTCTTATTTGCAGTCGCAGGCGATCAATCAAACACTTTCTCGTTTAAAATTCTTCTTTACTTGGACACTTAAGAATTTATATGACAGAATAGTGTACAGTTAATTATTTCTGTATTGTGATAGGTAATTACTGTACCAAGTTTTCATTCCTCTTATTTGACTGTTTTACTGTAAGAGTTTCTCATTTGAAATTCCAATACATCTAAGTATCATAGCTCACAAGTTTTGGCAAAAAGTATAACGTTACATTTTCTCAGGGATTTTCTTAAATTATTCAAAAGACAAAAGGAGAGTAGATGCTGTATCTTGAAAAACGTTATTGATCAATTTTTGTAAAATTGAGAAAAAACTGGATATTATTCTTTTGGCATTTCTTCAAAATGTTAGGTAACTTGAAAAATTTGTAACGTTTATTTTTAACCCATGTGATAATGATTTATTTTAAGACATCTGCTAAACTGCCTTGCGAACTAGATTATTCAGTCTAAAACGAATGTGACTGGTCATTTGTACAGACACCAATTCACACACTTACTGTCATACATTTGACTTAGAGAGCTGTAGCTTTAAGTGCAAGAAAAGAAAAACTAGGCATGATATGTTTTTTTTCTAACCTTATTGATTGGCTCGTCAAGTATGCAGTGGAATTATAACGATGAAAATAAACGGACAGCGATGTACGAGTATGATGGATCAGTTATCCTTCAGGCAATGAAGATTAGCAATAGAAATCAGTTGAGTTAGGATGAAATAAGCTGTAAGATCAAATATAAGGTGGACTTGAATACTCGAAATGAACTAGAACTAAATCTGGCTGGCCTATAAATTCACAGGTCTGATTCAGGTAGTTACCTTCTTTACACAGAATAAATATGACTCACTGAGGTGAGTAGCGTTGTTGTTCATAATGGAATATAAGGCCCCGAGCTTTAGGCTTTAAAGTTTTAATAGTGTTAGGTATGATTCCACTAGGTAGGGTTGTTAGCTCAACGCCCAACCTACTCTCTTCTCTAAGCTTATTGTCTGCTAGTAAATTAGGTGACGTTCAACAGTGAGTTAATTAGTAATAGAGACAGGACCATGCGTATAGTTGGGGAGTATTCTACCATCGAACCGCTGATAAGAGATGGACAGTGTAAGAACTATTATTCAGCCGGCAAAAATTAGATGGATAAACCAAGATTTATGATTTGTCTCGCTTTCAGTATAATATTCAGTTTTGTAAAATCATTGTTTCTGTTACTCAGTATTTCTGGATCAGGCAGTCATTGAACTTTCTATAATCAGAAGCTGTTGCAATAGGATCGACTAAACCGGAACGTTGTATCCAAAAACAACACATCCAGACGCTGTTCCTACCGTGACCAAACTTGGATTGATGATTCCTCTTCTCACATTATTATTACAATTACAATTATTATTATTTGTCATATTTTATACCCTTAATACTATCGAATTTTCATTTTTCATTTATACTCTCCGGATTTATTATCAGTGATATTATCTCTTTTCTCAATATATGCCTCCACCTGTTTCATTTCACATATTCGTTATTTCATTATGAACCTCTCATTGCAGTCTTTCTGTCTCCTGTTTAACACAGACCACTTTGTACTAGCCACTCACCTGACACCTTTTATAACCTTGAACAAATGTGTCAATTTTCCCACCCCACACTCTACAAATCTATTATGATTAATCACTACCATTGTCCCCAATTTTACAATATTTTTTAATCGATTTCAGCCTAGCACGTTTGTCCCACAAATATGACTATTTATTTTGACACCCTATTAGTAATCTGTTATTCTATGTTAAAAATGTATCCACCGCATAACTGGTCTTTATTGTAGGCTGTGTTGACATCGATACGATGTCCAGTATCGACCAAGTGTGGCAGGATCGAGCTTTTCATGCACTTAATTTCCCCCTGCTGAACCAAGCTGCTAAATGTTCTCGAAGCCGTAGACGAACCTGCCTAATCGTGCGTCCTATATTGTAATGACAACAAATATTATATTTTATAATTGTAAGAACCTGAAGAGAAATTATTGAAAAGAATATTCTTCGTTCAGATCGACTTTTAATTCATAATCAGAAAAGCCGAAATTTTCTCGAAAGATATCAAAAGCAATACTTTTGGCCAAAATGCAAATTGATAAGGATACATCTATTCGGTACTACCTATTTTGAATTACATCTGTAATTAATATTAATCTGACAAAATTTATGCTGAAATTATTCTAAAGCCTCTACAAACCAAGAACTGAAAAGTTTTATTAGTTTTAAGCTATATTAGCTCAAATAATCACTAACCTTGCTTGAAGTGTCTTTACACGAGCCAACATATCAACATGTCCAGCTGAATATTGTTCAATCACATCTTTTACATCGTATGGTCGAAGCGCCTCGCGAAACTTTCTACGTGCAACAAAAAATCTTAATTTACGAATAACTCGAACAGCAACTTTTTCTTTTTCTGTCAGCGGGTGCATAATAACTTCAGAACCTCGTGAGGTACACAGAACTGATTCTTGTTGAAGCATAGGCTGATTGGCATAATTCTGTCCATTAGTGGTTAACTGACGTCTTTGTTTTGATAGACTGATGTATTCTCGGTCACCTGATGATAATGGATCAATTACATTTGCTTGAATATTTCCTATTTGTGCTTGACTAAATGTTGCTAGCATTTCATCTGATTCTAAAACCCAAAGAATATTGGCATAGATTAAGTGATCTGATACTTTTTAGTGGCTAAAAAGTCAGCCTACGAAATCCAGTGTGACTCAGGTGTAAAAAAAAAGCAGATTAAAAGACGCTTAGTGCCTACTCTGTATAATGAAAATGCCAAGTGTCAAGTGATCCACAACGGAAAACTCAGCGAAGTGTTTGAAGTGCATACAGGAGTAAGACAAGGCTGGCTGCCTATTACCACCGATGATATTCTTAACTGTGGTGGACTGGATTATGTGCAGACTGTTGGGGCCAAGGAGTCTGGAATAGGCTGGACTACTGATAAGAAGACTCTGTAAGAACTGGATTTTGCAGATGATATGATGATGTCTAATGTCACACAAACTCGAAGACTTACAGGCGAAAAACAACAAACTGGCTGAAGAGGCAGGCACCGAAGACAGGACTCCAGTTGAACACAGAGAAGACGGAGGTCACAACCACCAATCACCATCAGCGGGGGAGATTTAACAGAGATTGCCTGCTTCACTTATTTGGGAAGCATCGTTTCAAGTACAGGTCAGTGGAATGGATGAAGATGTCAGAGTCAGAATCGGAGAAGTAAGATATGGTTTTCTCAACGTGAAACTAGTCTGAAAATTTTCTACACTCAGCATAAGGAACAATATTCATATTTTCAACACAAATGTCAACGAAGTCATTTCTTTTATACAGGTCAGAAAATTGGCCAGCGTGTCACAAAAAGGATGTCCAACAATTTACAGGCTTTCATCAACAGCTGCCTTTGATCCATACCGAAGATCAAATGGCGAGCCGTCCAGGAAGAATCAGCAAAAAGAAACTCTGCAGTGGAATCAACCAACTAGGAGTCGCTTGTCGAACAAATATGCAGGAGAAAATGGAAATGGATCGGATATTGAATGATATCGCGGGCAGTGCAGACCACTGCTAGAGTGGAATCCAGATAGGAGGCGACGAGTGGAGAGGGATATGGAGGAGATCATGAGAGTTGGAGGAGATGAGAGATTATGAGCAGTCGTGGTTCCATTTGAAGAGGACGGCAGAAGACAGAACAAGGTGAAGATGTGTTGTTGAAGTCATATGTTCCACTCGGAACGAAAGGAAATAACAATAATAATATAGTACGTGCTCTCTATCTTTGTACCATGCCTTATAAATGGCCCGGCATACCAAACAAATATGTGAAGTAATATGGTTTCATGATTTTAAGGTTAAAGTTGTTAGGGGCAATCTTTCGTTAACTGTTTAAAACTGCATTTATGCTTATGATCCACGTAATCCAGTTTGCTTAAATCTCAAGCAAGATTTTTAGATGCTTGTCCACAAATTATATACATCCAGTAGGTTACTACTGAAGTAGAACACTTTGGCTGGAGCGCAACTACTTTACTGTAGACACCTACGATTTAGTAAATGTACTTTTGTAGAGTCACTTCACTTATATAGGCAGCATTATCTTAACTATGTGCCAGCATGTTTGAAGATGTCAAATCCAGAATGTGAAAGATAAGACAGGTCTTCATTGATTGAAATTGTGCTACACTCAGCGTAAGAAACAAGATTCGAATTTTCAGCATTAATGCCAAGTCAGTTTATTTATATATGGTTAAGAGACTTGGCACATCATCACAAGCATTTCCGGAAGACTGCTGCAGACTTTCGTCAATGGATGCCTCCACTTTATGCTAGAGGTAAGATGGTCGACCAAAAAAGACTAAAAGTTAGAAACTCTGCAGTCAACGGACCATCCAAGAACCCAACCGATATGCATAGGGAAGTGGACAGGGATCAGACACACTCTGAAGATACCTTTGCGTCAAATCACGCTTCTGACCATCATACTGGTCAAATGGGAAACGACAAGCTGGACATCCGAAGTTCACGTGGGGGATATCATGTGAGGAGGGGACGAAAGCTTGTGAAGAACAGAATGAAACGGAGATGTGTTGCTGAAGCCCTACGTTCCACCTAAAATCTAAGGGAATATTAGTCTTGAAATAATAGAGAAGATTTGCAGCTCAGGTGGATGATTTGCAATTTGTAGTGTTCTCTGAGGTGGTGGTTTAGTTGCGGAGCTTTCGTCATCCTTCTGGACAGCATCTTCAGCGCATGTTTGAGAAAAGAGTGCACTGATTTAAATTTAAATTCTGTCTCCTGGTAACCATGTTTACGTATGTATTGATCATATTTTATTGACTGGAATTTGAAACGTTCTCATCATATGATATACTTTTTATAAGTTGGTAGACTTAGCCTGTATTAATATGTTTGTTAAACATATATTTGCTTGAGTACCAGGCTTCATGGAATTCTCTGGTACTTTTGCTGTTTCCTCTGTTTAAAATTTCGACATTATCTTAATCAAACTGATGTCCATAATTATCTACATGCATTGATATGAAAGAATATATATCATGTCTTTTCACGTTTGATTTGTGTTCCTGGATTCTGGTTCGCAGCAGACGCCCATATTGGGTGATGTAATGTCAAAGGTCCGGTAACCTTATTATTATAATGTGGCTAATTAGTAAAAGTACGAAATCAAGATTGGTTACTTTATATTTTCTGAAAATGCTTGTTAGCCAGCTATTAATGAGATATATCAAGCATGATTACTAGAATCAGATATTTCAGTAATGTTTCCGTCTGTCCGTGCCCCCTCTCCGTGAATTAAAATAGTATGTATTAAATAGTTGACTGTTTAGTTTTAATTTCAATAAGAGGAATAATTAGTAAACAAAAATGAAGCCTACCTTTCTCCAACTTTCCATCTGGACTATGTGGTTTCTCATGATCAAGAGCTTGTTGAATATGCTTCAACCTACAGTGAAAGAGAAATACGAGAATACACATATAGAAGGATTAAAATGAATAGCCACTAATAATTTTTATTAGTTAGAGCTGAAATCTATTCAGAAAAAAAATACAGAAAGGCTATTCTATTAAACGTAGATATATAAGTGATTGCCATTGAGAAAACAAAAACAGGGAAATACAGGTTTCAACTCTAATAATCTGCGACTGATGCCGATTATCATCATACATCGGCACATACTAAGCTATGCTTATAATCGCGATGCATGAACTCGCGTGTAAAATGCAGGATGAACGATATGGTTTTTACTGACGTTTCGCTATTTAATTCTGCTAATAGCTTTATCAAAGTATTATTAAACCCAAATTTACAAAATTTCAGCATATATATATAACACAAAGAGACAATAGGTGAGAAAATAGACTTAGGTCAAGTTAAAGGGGCATATTGAAAGTCAAAATAGCAATGAAGATCACTAAACCAAATAAGGAAAGTAATAGTGCATCTGTTATGATATAAAAACAAAGTTTACTAACTTGATCATCATTCGTCAGTCTGGGTTCATTATTCGTTGTCAAGTTGGCCAATTGGTAAAGATAACAAAATCAAGTGGAGATTGTTGGATTGGATCAGCGTGTGTTCACATAGTAAACTTGCTTATCATATTTGTGTTGATTTTGTAATTTCATGGGGGAGGGAGGTGTTGTAACCATGTCAGATTCCGTTCTAGTCCATCATTCCTACTCAGACAATTTGGATGCCACTTGATATGAAGTTCTTCTGATATTAGACGTTCTTTGTGATTTCTGAAGTTTTTCTGGATTATTTCCATATTGTCATAATCAATTTTGTGGCCTGATTCTATAGCCCGTAGACCTATGGCTGATGATTTTTCAAGTTTTTCTATTTCAACTGGATTTCTTGGTGGTCGAAGAGATGCTCTACGGTGTTCATTTCTTCTGATTTTGATTTCTCTCTGGAGATGTTTGTCCGATGTATATCAAATCACATTTCAAGCATTTTATTTTGTAGACACAATTAGATTAAGAATCTTTCGGGATTTGGTCTTTTATATGGCCAAGGTTACTTCGAAATGTGTCTGATGTTTTGAAGAAAACTCTAATGTCAAGCTGATTGAGTACACTTCTGATATCGCCTAACGTCTCTGCTCTATATGGAATGATGACTGTTGATGCCCATGTTTTCGGAATGCATTTTCGGCAATACTTAATGTCTGTGTTGATTTTGTTGATGAAGTTCTTTGGGTAGTTAGTTTGCTTCAGAGTCTTATTAGTATTTGATATTTCTTCTTCCTTTTCTTTCTCATCCGTTATCAAAGAGTGCCCGTCTTAGAAGACTTGAAACAACTGAAATCTTTGCGCTGATCGGGTGTGATGATTCGAAGTTTAAATATTTATTGGACTGGATCTTTTAACTTGACCTAAGTCCATTTCCTCACCCCTTAACTCTTTGTTATATACATATATGCAGAGATTTTGTAAATTCCGGTTTAATAATACTTTGATAAAGCTATTAGCAGCATTAAATAGCGAAAAGTCATTAAAAACAACGACAATATCGTTTTGTTTTTCATTCATTGGGAATTACAAAAACCTTTATTATAATGAATATCATATACCCAATGCCCAAAATTTTTCAAACCGTTGAAAGTTAACTTGGTTTGGACATATATAATACAAGATAAAGTTTAAGATGTTTCATTAGTCTCATGCTTTATGTGCTACATTTTTCAAAAACGCTTATTATCCCTATCCTACTTTCGAAAACAAGGAACGTGATGAAGCGTCTATTTTACAGACGCTATATATTTTTGTAAATTTAATTACCATTGTATGTATAAAGAAGCAAAAAAAAAACGCAAAACCTATTTAATTTTCTTCGCTATCTCCAGACGAATCTGTAAACAAAATGGTGGGACATAGATATTCAAATTTGTTTCTTTTTCCCGATTTTTATCACTTTGTTGTTATGAGTTTCATTTTTATTTCCACTCCTCCCCCCGGATCCACATTAGTGTACTTTACGCATAATTTCATTTAATTATAGTTAGTTTACGAAAAATAACTGCATGATATTAGTTGTTATTCAACTTGCAAATTCGGCAGTCTGGTTTGCGTGCTGAAAATTTATGTGGAACAAGGAAGCAAAATAACAAATTTGAATCTTTTTACTGGTTTTAAAAAAAAATCTAATATAAACTTTCGTCATGTCTATTTATCGATGGTAAAAGTTAAGGTAAGACCAGATGTTTCAAATTAGGTGGGAGAACAAATACATGCTACGTATGGTCAATATTTATCAGTGCTTTAGTAGCTACACTGAAGAGTAAACGAGTTGTTGAAATGAATGTATATAAATGTGTAAAGCCAGTAAGGAAAAAATTTTATCTTACATAACCAGAAAAAAGTGTTAATATGAGGAGGGTGGAATAAATCAGGCATCACACTGAAGAAACAAAATTTTAGGGTAGTTTTTCGATTTGAAGAGTAGTAATATCATCGTATGACTATACTCTTTCGATTTTGTCTAAGGTAAAGCTCATTTGGAAATATTTATTTGGTTTTTGTTTAGCAGTAAACATTGTCGGGGCATATAACACACTTTCTATGGGACTATTGAGAGTTTACGAATAAATAATAATAATAATATAAGATTCCTACTATTTCAAGATGAGTTTTGTCATAACCACATTAAGTAAGTAAGCAGTTGAAAGTCTACGAGAACTGGACAGCCTTATCATTCTACATGACGATTCCGTACCGATATAACCTAATAAAACTTTGCTTGATCCTTTGAAGTGTCCTGTGTAGAAGTCGCTGTCTGAGAAAGGAAATTGTTCATCTTATTTTTTTTGACTCTCAGTTTCATTCTTTTTGATACTAGTTTTTGACAAAACCTACTTGAAATAAACTATTTTCTCAGTAACACAACAATTTAATAATGACTATTTTTGATGTAAAAAGACATATTCAACTATTTGCGATATGAATTGATTGTCTTGGTCTCGCACACTGAATTTTCCTTCATTGAGAAACTACACATAACATTTATCGTGTTTCTTGCTCAATTGATATCAATATATATTGATATTTTGGAGGTTGAACAGGTTCTTTCTCGCCTAAGGTTGATTCAGCTGTGAAAGGACTTCAGTTAAATAACCGCTGAAAACAACAAAGCACATGGCGATAGATTCGCCTTAGACCCTAATTCGTTAAAAGACAGCACCTAAGACCACTTCAAAAAATCCAAATCGATATCAAATACTTTTCAGACAAATACGTAAAACGACTCAATCGGTTGAAAATATGTATTTCGCGATACGAGTTAATAAAGCAGGATTTTATAAATTCACCAAATTCCAGCTGAACTCTCCAGCTGAACACTCTACATACAGTGATATATATATATGTATATATTGGTAGAAATACACTTAGAGATGTATGACTACATTGACTGAATTAGGCAAAGCGACAGTTGTGAGTGTTTTCCAGGTCATGTTCAGACAGATAAGGGGAAGAGGGATAGGAATGATTAAAATTAAAATAATAATGCAGTACTGTTCAGTTACATCACTTAAATAAACAATTACATATCAAAGACAGCACGTGACTATGCCAAGAATTGACAGTTGAGTAATAGTGATAATTACAGTAATAATAATAACAAAACAATTTGAGATAATGGTACCACCAAAGAATGGCTTTATATGAATTAATAATAATAATAAGGGATGGAGTGAAATATCAATGAAAACAGCTGTCATAAAGGAAGAAATTTCATTATGTTGGGTTCACAGTGACCATCATATTGTTCTGTACGCACAAACCAGGTGTATAAATTCCAATTGCAAAAGCTTCTGCAGATGCAAGCATCTTTCCGTCTGTCTGTCTGTCTGCTGACAATAGTGAATGACTTGATAGAGTCAATATCAAGTTATTTCTTTTATGTTGAGTCAGTGTAACTGTAGTAAAACAGATAAGTCAGACTGACTGAAAGCTTGCTGATAAGCTGGATTAGCTTATAAGACTATTTTTCTTTTGTATTAGATCCTGTTGGTGATATCATCTATATTTAATATTTTATTTATACCATATTTCCGAGTATTGCTTTCGTGGGGGTTTTTGTTTGATTGATTAGAGGATTTCCTTATGAACTCACATCAGTCAGAGAACCACTGGAAAACCTGAGAGTACTGGAAGACCATTTCCTCTTAATCTGGGACTATTCATCAGGAGTTAGAATTCATGGACTATTGGATCAGGTCCCAGAGGCTTAATGGTCTACAAGGTTGCCTTGTAACCAGAAAGTCCTGGATTCGAACATCAGTGGTTGAAAACTAGTGAACAGTCCCAAACTAGAACGAAAGAGGAGGCTGTTCAGTACTCCCAGGTTTTTCAATTGTTCTCTGACTTATATACCATATTTATTTTGTGAAATTATATGTAAAATATAAATAAATAATTTCTACCTCCGTAGCGTATGTAATTTTTCGCCGATTCTTCAGTCCGGTGTAATGTGGTTAGGATGATATTGTTGATAAGGAACTGTGTCAGTACTAAGTCTAGCAAATGGATGGGTGTTAGGAGTCCTCTTAACAAAACAGTAAACCCGCATGTTACATTCCTAGGAGTAAAGATTTTGTGCTCTTTTGTAACGAATTATTATTTTCTGTAAAAATTGGTAGTCATTTATATTTTGACAGGGAGTTTTCGTAATTTGCGTATAAAGCTATAAATTTCTATGAGGTATCAGAGAATGAGATTATAGCTTGGAGACTGCGGTGATTGATTATCAAAATAATATGATCTTTTACTTTTCACTAGACAGGTTTATTAAAATTTTTGATGAAATCGCTGTCAAATGCTTTTGTTATAAATATTTACCCAACTTACCATTACAATTTATTAGCCTGCTTATACTTTCACGTGTTTATGGAAATGTGTTCAAGCCTACTTTTCACCTTACCGAGAAACATTCGCTGTGAATGATAAATTAAAGTGAATGAAATAAATTTCTTCTCTTGTTTTATTTAGGTTTGTTGGGAGTGCTTAGTTGGTTGAAGGTAATTGATCATTGGTATTCATCGGAATGACATATCAGAAGAAAATGTACGTATCTTGAGATATTCAAATGCGCGCCAACTAGTGGTATAGTGAGTTATTTGGCACCTGACTGACCTCTTGTAGTGGACACATTGATTTGTCAGTGTGGAGTAAATAATGTCGTGTATCTATTCTTCTATGGTCACCTTCGTATGTGACTTTCTATTGTGTCTTACATTAGATTGATATTAAATATTTGCTTGCAAGCAATCGATTAATTGGGAACCACGAAGTTGAGTCATCTACACTGATCACCACACCGAACATTTAATTGACAGAATTCATCGTCATTATTATGTTATACACATGTCGTTGTTTATTTTGTCTACGCTAAATTGTCCGAAATTAATTGTTGTTGGACATGCCTGAAGGTCATTCAACATTATGACATGACATGAATAGTTAACCTTTTAAAGCTCTTGAGACTATAGGCACTAAGTTAAGGTCTCTTAAGGATCATTATTACCCAGTGCCCAATGATTCCAGGTCTACACTGACTCTCTAAATAATCTCACTTAGTGTCGAAATTTAATTTATTCTCATTCTCAGCAATTATCATTTGTCTTTCATCACTGACGTTCACATAAAGTTTTTACCTCAGAATATTAATTGTAAAATGTGAGGTATTTTATGTTCCTCTACAATTCATCATTATATTTGTCATTCACTTACTTTGCAGCATCTTCATCACTTATAAATGTATACATAGCGTCTAAACCTTCAGGTTTAGCCGGTGCAGATCTTGGTAAATCAGTGTTTGTTTCATCTGAGGATACAGTAGGTGCAGTGTTATTCACGCCTGTATTTGTACCGGAATGAATTTTATCTGAACGACGTTTTAATGTCGAAAAACGACTGAATCGAGAAAATCCACTCCTTTCAATCATGGAATACGAATTTGTTAGACTAAAATGTGAATTAAAAATGAAACAGATAGATGTAATAATTATCTAAATTCATATTAGAATAATTATACTTGTTTACTTGCAAGCTTGTGAATTCGATAAGGCTTCAGAAGTTATGTCAGCCTATAGATCTAAGTAAATACGTATTCCCCCTAAGTTTAACTACTGTCACAGTTGTGCGACACTTTAGACTGTAATACTTCATTTAAATTATGCTATTAACATGAATCAATCTTAATGCAGTATTATTATTGATTCTCTTGAACTCCGAGTGGGACATGGGGCTTCAGAAGCACATCTTCACTTCATTCTGTTCTCCACAGCCTTCTTTAGCTGGCCCCCTGATTCCTCATAAGCTTTCGTTTCCTCCTTGCGTAATACCCCCCAAGTTAACCTCGAACGCCTAACTCGTCGTCTCCCATCCAAGTTCTAGTCAAGTGGTGGTCTGGCGGGCGATGTGACCCAACGGCCACCTCAGTGTATCCCCACTCTATCATCATTTTATTCGGAATATTCGTCGAGCGACAGATCCTTGACTATTTCGTCCTCAGAGTCTCCTGTCACTAGATCTTTCTGGCCATCTGATCTTCAGTATAGAGCAAAGGCAAATTTTGATAGAATTTTGTGGTGATTTGCTGGAAATCCTCTTCCTGAAGCGCCAAGTTTCTGACCTATATAAAAGAAGCGAAAATCTGCATTTTGTTTTTTATGCTGAGCGCAGCAGACTTCCAAACAGATTCATCCGTTTCGCGTGTGGTCGAATCGACCTCTATACTTCGGTTTACTGGAGGTAGTCTTATTATGAGAAATATGAACTCCATTGCTTGTAGGTTTTTAAACGAATATAATCCTTCTCTGTTATCACAGTTGTTAGATTATATGCACTGCTCTGGGATGTTATATGGTACCATACTTTCATGACATCTTTAGCACTTGTGTTCTAGTTATGTTTGGACGTCGTTCTGTTATAGATGTTCTACTGTTAATGTTGGTGTGAATAAATCTGCCATTACAAATCTCTCTGCTTAAATGGTGTAAGGTGTATTAATTTTATAGACGCTTGTAGAAGTATTTATAGTCTATGTGAGCAAAAAACTTATTTGATCATACAGTTATATTTCTCCTTGTTTGAATTATCTTCACATTCTGCAAAAATTAGTCATCTAATATATATTGACCAATTTTCAATCCAATGGTATCTTACGCAAGCAGCACAGGTAAAAATGTCGCAAGGGAATAAATTATTTTTAGGCCAATTTTTTTTAAAAAAAAACGGTATTTTACCGAACTTAAAAAGCTGAAATTCGAAGCGTCTAGGCAGAAAAAAACTTCTCTCACCACTTAAAGAGATACAGTTTTAGCTAGCTGTTCGACAACGTTTTTGATCCCATGTACATATACATAAAAAATTTAACTGCAAACTTCCCTTTGAAATGCTTTAATCAGACGCTTTCATAGACTTATGTGGGTAGAAACTATTTGAGCTAACATATAATGAAGTTTAATTTTCAGTTCAACTCTGGTTCTCGATATTTGTCAAGTAGACAGTCATCCATTACGTCATCATGAAAAATTAAAAACCAGTTTGTTTTATGCATAGTGGAGGACATTTCATATAGTAAATACAGCTGACTAATATAGGCGCTTTTCTGAAAGAAAGTAATGTCTATGAGTCTGTGCGAATTTCATATGTTTATTCCCCTTAATGAATTTGAATAAAGCAAGAACGACAGTGGTTTGTGCAGAATAATACGGTACCATCATTTATTTCGTTTGCTTCTTATCAACTGCTTACAGGCCAAAAATCATTATTGAATATATTTATGAGGTGGACGTTGCAAGATCGTTCAAAATTATCAGAAGGCAGAAGAGTTCAATTCTCCTCAAGTTCGCTGAAGCCACTTCCATCAAGCGCCTGAAACCTGATTTATGCGTTCAGGAAGAAGCAGTTATCAGTCTTTCTTTGCCCTGGTAACTGAATATTTTCACCTCTCTTTCACCTGATTACGTAATGTTGAAATTTTCCATTGTGTATGATCGTTATTGTTCGGAATAGTGTTTAATGTTACATATATATGTATATATTATTACTGTATGCTGATCGATTGATTTTTGTTTAAAATGAACTCTGCGGAAGTATGTTAACATTGTTTTTGTAGATATATTTATCAATGACTTTGACCTGTAAGCAGCTGATAAGTGGCCAACGAAATAAAAGATGGTACTGCTTTATTCTGCAGAAGCTGTAGTTCTTGCTTTATTCAAGCTCTGTGAAAAAATTGCATTTTATGGCATACATCACGGGAAACATTTTGACCAGGGCACCAAATCTATAAGTAATTCACTTATATAATAGTTTACTTTTATTTATTCACTAATCTTGAGCACCTATCTTCTTGAATTTCAGCAGTTTTCGACCACATGCATTCAAAAGTTGTTAACTGGCTTTGTTTAATCGCCTGACATCTCTGTAAGGAATTCACCTAGAAAAAAAGTCTATGTGTTCAAGTTGATGAACGTATTATAAACAATGCAACCGTCGTTTTGCAAGTGCTCATTAGGTTTATGGATGATGCAATCTAGCTACTAAAGTAAATGATACAGGCACTGTAGTCCAGTGTAATTTGTGTAAACAGAACGGCTTGTACAAGTACAAAAGAAATTTACTGAAGACTTTCAGCCACAGAGTTAGAGCTGTTTGCTCAGAAGAAGTAATTGAAGATAAATTAACTGTTGTATATGATACCTTGATTGAAAATAGCTATCCCAGAAAATTTATCAAAAAACACATGACAAAGAAGGCAGAAAAGGACTATTCACTATCTGTAAACAAGAAGCCACTTTATATACGACTACAATTCAAGGGCGATATACCAAGTTAGATAATTACGAGGAGATCGAAAAAATCATTTCAAAGGACTTATAATGCTGGCGAACTACACGTCTTATTCTCTACACTACCGATGGTGCTACCTCGACTGAAAGATGAAGTACCTAGACTAGCTGGCCACTTCAAATTGTATCTACCAATTCAACTGCGATAGTGGTAGAGTGAGTTATATTGGCCGTTGCTCTAGGAACTTGGTTTTTCGTACTTGCTCGAGAACTTCTCCCAATATGGTTAAGTAAAGGCGTAGTTAAAACCATTACCAGTTCAATATTGGACCATCTGGTGCAAACCGGCCACAAAGCTAGCTCTGTCATCTAGCGGGTGCCTAATAAATTGCCAAAATCATCGAAGCACCGCATGCTCCAAACAGCAGAGGCTATTGCAATTTGCCTCAAACAACCAGTGCTCTCTATGTTCAAAGGAAGTAAGTTCAACCACTACTACTGCCCTGGCCTTCAAGTAGAGACTATAAATTCATGAATTTGTAATATTATCTTAATTATCCTAAATTTTCTGACATTTGGCTTATTTTATGTTGATGCTAATGAGCTGTAATCTATCAATATTATTGATTCGACGTTATTTAAACATTAATGTTGTTCATAACACTAATTCATTCATTCACTATAATGTATATATAACTGTAGAGCCTGATAATGAAGTTATCGAAAAGAGTACTCTTTGTTCAATATCCATTCTTTTGAAAACTTTACAATCATTTGTTCAATTTTGTAACATACTCACTTCCCACATGATTCTACCTTACATATATGAAGTAGGTTGAGTTTTATACGACCACTGAGACATTTATAGGAAGCTATATATTGACTACATTTGTCATGCACACATCCTCTTGAGATGACCTAATTCAATAGATTTTATTGTTGCTTCAACTGTTATCGTCAATAAAAAGAACAGCCGAATGACTCTCCATGATTGATATCATAGTTTAGCCCAATTCGAATCACTTTTGGCAGGAAAATTTCTCTACTCATAAAGTAACCTCGATTGATTAAAACAGATTTATATTAATTCTTCTTAATGCACTTGAAGGATAAATTTTGTGTTTGTCTTACCCAACAGGCTTCCGTAAAGGTCTCATGTGAATTTTCCATGTTGCTGCAGATGATGAATGTGGATCAGCAGCATAACACCTCCATAGACATTGGATTAATGTGGCCGCTGGAACTCTTCTTCGAATTAGGTGTTTTTGTCTCTGATGCTGCTGTACTTTGAGAGCGAAACCACTACCTAGTATACCCTGAAAATATTTTTGTGAAATATCTTTATTAATTATAAGAAAACTAAAAAATGAACAATAAATTATAGTGATAACTAAAGTATTTTGGTTATCCATGTGCTAAGTTGTCAAGCGTTTTCACAAGTCAGTCTTATTTCCCTCCGTATATTGCAGCTAACAGATTTGTCAAAGCACCAGTAGACAAGACAGGATTAAACCAGAAAATTGTCTAAACGATTGTCTGTTGAGCAAGTTCGCGAAGAATAATTTGTGCAATTAAAAAGTTCTAAATATTAGTCTTTTGTGACTTCTACAGAAGGTACTTTGATGGCCCGTACTTCCAAGTGTTACAAAACACAGTGTACCCCATAAATTCAGTTGTAAATAACTCTGAACTTTGCTGCGATATAAACACGATGTGCAGTTCAAATATTTCGAGTTATTATAGCTCATCTCATAGTGCACAGCTGTGTAAAAATTAGCCTCGAATTACAGCTGTGGTATGTGACTGTGAAAATGGAGCTAAACATATGATATCGTTTAATGTCGTTAAAACACTCTTTTCCTTTTGTCAATAGATTTTCATACTCATTCATACCTTAGGTATATCATAGACTACAAATAGGAATGATGTTATGCAATTAATTTAGTTGTTTACGATTATTATTATTCCCATGAGTTCTGAGTGGAACGTAATGCTTCAACAACACATCTCCACTTTTCTTCTGCCATCTTCTTCAGATGGGTCCATGATTGACTAAACTCTCTCATATTTTCCTCACACGATTTCATCCATGTCTTCATATCACTGATGACCCATTAGTCACACCATCTGGATTCTACTCGAGCGATGGCCTGGCGTGCGATGTCATTCGACGGCTTCCTCAATGTATGCCCAATCCATCTCTACTTTCTCCTACATATTTGTTGAGCGATCGGTTCTTGCTCCGTTGGTTTGTTTCAATCTAGAGTGTCTTGTTGCTTATTCTTTCCGGCTGGCAATTGGGTCTTCTGTATTTTTTTTTATGTTTTTTTTTTATGGTTACAGCTTGATTTCACACCGTATTTTTGGTACAAGTGTGGGATTTTCAGCGTGGATATCGGTAGCCCAAAATTCGCAGGCCAACCATAGATATCAGGTGTGCGTCGGCAGGGGATCGAACCTCGGACCATGTGCATGGTCGGCGAGAATCCTAACCACTGTGCCATCAACGCTAGAACAGTAGCAACATAACCGAAATTCTGGAAGATTAATTCAAAATTCATACATCAAACATATATACACAAGGTTAAAGTTATAAACATATAAAATTAACAAATAAAAACTGAATTTTTTTTAATAAAATATATAGTTTAACATCCCCTACATATTCCTACATGTTTTGGAGCTTTTCTCAACAGTTGTCCAGCAAAATCTCTCTAAGCATCTCCTACTACCAGCAACTTAAATTCATTTCTAAACGAAATAACTTTATTAGACATTAGCAATTTATAAGAAAGTTCAAGAAGTAAAGATTTTAATGTTGTATAAGGGCACAATTTCGGTTGTATTACAACCAACTACAGCACATGCATCATTTTTGACTGAATTTTACTTAATTCATTTTAAGACTGATTTGGTTTTTGTACCCCACTGCTACATGCAAAATACTTGGGAAGACTTCATGAAACTATTCGTAGATAGATATAAATCATAAAAAAGTCTATCTGAAGATGAAGTGAGGGGAGAAAAAGACGAGATTTTAATAGGGAAAGCTAACAGAAATCTGAAAAAAAAAACACTTTTAATAACTTAAAACAACTTTGAAGAAGATGGCATTAGCTCTGCGGATATCAACAGTTTTCATAAAATTATCATTCTGTCAGCAAGTGAAGAGAGAAATCATGTTTCAGCTTTTTTTAATAACTGAGGGAATTGCATGGAGGATTTAATCATGAGCTGACATCAGTTAGAGAACCACTGGAAAACCTGGGAGTACTGGACAGCTGTTTTGTGCTAGTTTGGGACTCCTCAGCAGTACACACCCACCGGGATTTGAGCCCAGGACCTTCTGGTTACAAGGCGAGCTCGTAGACCATTGAGCCACTGGGTACAGCAGGTCGAAGATGAGGCAGTAACTCATCGAAGAAGACATTGCGAAGTGGTTGCGCTATGTCGTGAACTGGCAGAAGTTAGAATTCAAGGACCATTGGATCGGGTCCCAGTGGCTCAATGGTCTACGAGCTCGCCTTTTAACCAGAAGGTCCTGGGTTCGAATCCCGGTGGGTGCGTACTGCTGAATAGTCACAAACTAGGAAAAAACAGCTGTCCAGTACGCCAAGGCTATCCAATGGTTCTCTAACTGATGTCAGCTAATGATGAAATCCTCCATGCAATCAAACAAAATCCTTACAAAAAACCAATACTTGAAAACTTAGGGAATATTAATCCAACTAGTATTTTTTCATGTTATCATTTACTTATGGAAGTTAGGTAAGTTTAAATGTTAACAATCAAGCCTTCTAGAAATGTAATCAGGTCCTTAAGTTTTCGTGTCAGCTGAACATATTTATTTATGATGACATAATTCATCAAAAAAGAAGCTTTCGACACATACATTTTAAGTATCATACAAAACACCGAGAACATCTACAGTTAGTGATAGACCATAGACAAAAATTAGCGATAATAATCCTGGTAGTGACGTAATAGTGTATAGCTCTAAATTGTGGAATGCACATGCCTGGATATTCATATGTTTTTGATGTGGTTTTGTTCTCTGAGCTGGATGGTTAATCTGCGAAGCTTTCATCACCCTACTGGGTGACATCTTCAGCGGATAATTCAATTTGAAATACAAAACCACATCAAAATCATCCACCTGAGCTAAAAATCTTCTCTATCATATCTATATTCATATGTACAAATTGAATTTTTGTCCGAGTGATTCAATCACTTGACTGAATACGATTCCTATCACTCCAATACTTTCAACTACCCCAGGTTTTTGTTCAACTACCTTAATGGATTTGTAAAGAATAAAACCAACGTTCTGATGCTATCAGTGTTGATCAAAAATTAATTTTATGAGTTACAGTGCTAATTTCTTTAGATACATTAATAATGCTTCAATTCATGGATAACCCCCATCCAGGCATTAATGAAAACAAAACACGTAGATCAGCGAAGAGTCTCTTTTCGGAGGATTCATTTTCTTAGCTGTACAATCGCAAACATATATGACAGTTATTTTGTGTGCATGTGTACATTAGATTTGTCAAACAAAACTACAATTGGTTAGGGTTATTTTAACTAAGCAGGTAAGGGTTGGTAATACAAGTCAAGCAAATTAAGTGTTAATGAAGTTAGGGTAGTAACAAAGGTGATGAGTTGTCACAAACAGTTGTTGAAAGAAGTTATGTAATAGTAATAATATGAATAGTTTGATGAGTGAGTTTTACTCAGGATGCACATAGAAACAAAGTAGATAATACGAAATTACATAAGAGTTCTTTAATTGCTTATAATTATTGTATTCATTTAGAACTCTTTGTTTCTATGTGCATCCTGAGTAAAACTCACTCATCAAACTATTCATATTATTACTATTACATAACTTCTTTCAACAACTGTTTGTGACAACTCATCACCTTTGTTACTACCCTAACTTCATTAACACTTAATTTGCTTGACTTGTATTACCAACCCTTACCTGCTTAGTTAAAATAACCCTAACCAATTGTAGTTTTGTTTGACAAATCTAATGTACACATGCACACAAAATAACTGTCATATATGTTTGCGATTGTACAGCTAAGAAAATGAATCCTCCGAAAAGAGACTCTTCGCTGATCTACGTGTTTTTTTTACATAAATAATGTTATACTGCTAGTCCGAAAGAAGTTACAGACTATCACATCAATCGATAAAATGGGATACATGAAGCTTGAATTGACCCGTTATTGAATACTAATGTTGAGTTTTAAATATTTTGCGATGTGTTTTGAATTTTAAAAAATGTAGCAAAAGTCTATTGTTCATCATTGATTGACTTCAAAATGTACCTCTCTTAGTCTCAGTATAGGAATTTTGATAAGTCATAGGATTCCATTCCAATAGGTGAGTAGTAATGTGTTAGTTTTCACATGGAATCGTTTCAAGTTTAATAGCTTTTAAGGCAATGCGTGATGACTGCTGGCTATAAATAGATTTGCAGGGTTTCATAGCCTTTGTTGATTTCTAAATGGATATTACTTAAATATGAAGTCTTCCTTAAGACATACAAGATCTGAAAATACCTAACAGATCGGTATTCGCTACATCTTTTCTGGAATTTAATCTTCTTTGGATGTTTTCCTCATAAGAATGCCTATAGTGGGGGAGAAATGTAGAGGTTAAATCCTTCAGGTCACATAATCCAGTTCTTAAATGAGATATTCATAGTGCAAAATGCTGCAGAGAGAAGGTGATGATTGCCGAAAATCAAATATCTGTTATCTAAGGAGGAAGTGAATAAGCTCCAGGAAAAATAAAGTAATCTGTTTTAGGGAAAACATTTGGAAAAAGGGAGGCAGGAAAAAAAGAAGCCGACATACACATAGACTTTTACACAATAAGTTCACCAGTTTTTCTGTAACACTGCTAATCTAATTTCAGCATAGAAATGGATAAAGATACGGTTGTACATGACTTGGTATTAACTATTATTATCATTAACTGCAGTAAAACAACTACAGAATGTCACAGTAAAGCCACTATTAGTCACAGATAACATATGTGTGTCTGTGGTGACACTTCTGAAATTTCAATGGCAACTATATTAAGGATTCCAGAAAACATGGAGGATTTCATCATAAGCTGACATCAGTTAGAGAACCACTGGAAAACCTGGGAGCACTGGACAGCTGTTTCGTCCTGGTTTGGGACTCTTCATCAGCAGCTGTCAAGTACTCCCAGGTTTTCCAGTGGTTCTCTAACTGATGTCAGCTCATGATGAAATCCACCATGTAATCAAACAAAATCTCTACAAAATCAATACTTGCAGATTCCAGAAAATATCTTGAAAATTTACTGTAAGACACAAGATTCTTATTCCTACGACTTTTGTACCACATCAAGATATGAAAGAGAATTTTATTCAGATAATCCGATTCATTTCGCCAGAAGGATGAGGGAATAAATTTGCTCAGATACTGCTTGTTGTTTCACTTCAGATATATTCACGCATGTACCTTCACTTCAGTTGAATTAATACTGAGTATACAGAAAACTTTTGCTTTCTTCCCTACAGTCTAACATTTACCCCTCAAATATGCTGGCATTGAATGAAAGTGTCGAACGCCCCCCAAAAAATGATTTGTTAGCGTTTAATTATCAATGTAGAAGAAGAATTAGATAGGCACTATGTATGTATTGACTATATATGATTAAAACTCACAGCAGGTAGAGCGAAAAAGGAGATACCAGCCAATGCACAAAATGCTGCAATAATTTTCCCCATCCATGTTTTAGGCACTGTATCCCCGTAACCGACTGTACAAAGAGTTATCTGACAGATAGAAAGTGAAAGAAAGAATACAATAAAATGACAAGGGATGACAAGGATTTAAAAAAAAACAAGCAAACAGAAGAGGATTAGTTTAGTAAAGGCAGAATTTCTAAATGATGATTTATAGTCAAAGAGATGAAATCTGCACAATGAGCCTACTGCTTTTTTTTCAATATGAATATAATCCAGGGTTTGATTATTACTAATAATCACAATTTAATCCAATTAATCTCATTCAGCATTTATTTAAGACCTTATTTTACCGAGAAACAGTTTCTGTCTAAATGTTTCTAACTAACAGTTAAAAATAAGCCATTTGGAGATTGTTTAGTATTTATTTCAGTACTAAATACGTTAAGCATTTATTCATACTGAAAGTGGTTCAATTGAATGAGTTTGACTTGTTATGAGTAAACAAACATTCGATCTTTGATTTGTAAGGATTTTTAAAACAAAGAAAGTTTATCTGTTGGGGCTAGTATTATTTACAAGAAGCATATGAAATCAGTGAATTAGTGTTCTTGGGTGCTTACTTGTCTGTGCAAAAATTCATCCAGAATAATTATAAGAAAGAAATAACTTTGGTACAGATTATGACTTTAAAGATTTATCGTATTGAACATCTAGATTATTTCGCGGTATACAACATCATTCTACTAACTCGAAATAATCTAGGTAAAAATTTGACAGTAAGATCTTGAGTTTCTGTGACTGCCAGTCAGGTTGACGTCGTAACCTGAAGGTCTTTGGTGTTGATTCCCAGTGAGGTCATGGTTGCGAACTTCTGAAGAGTTTCAAACTATGGCAAAGCAGTTATGTAGCACTTCATGCTTTTCAGTGATTCCCTAAATGATATCAGCCCACGATGAAACGTAAAACAAATCAAATCCCCACAAACTAATTCCTGAAGAGTCATAACGTCCATAAATTTACCGTCTTTACTTTGTAATAATGAAGTATTAGTATGAATTATGGGAGGAATTTATTCTGTTGCTTTCTATTACAATCACTTGTAAGGCACTAGATGCTAATTAATTAAGGAGAAGTGGACAGACAGATAAATGCAGTGCTGATGGAAAATTCTCATTGTAACATATAGAAAATCAAAACAAGTGATTCAGCGAAGAGACTCTTTTCAACGAATTTATCATCAAGCTGTACAATCGTGTATATATGGTTTTTAGAAGTTATATCCGGTGAGTGAATTGAATCAGAGGTGTGAATGCATAAAATAATAATAATAGTAGTATGAAAGGCAATTAAAAACTAAAATGTTTGTAATTATAATCATAGTTAAATGTCAAGTGGCAACTCAAATTAATGTCATATATGGAATAATTCATAGGATGGAGAGAACTTGAAGAAGGGTATGCAATTATAGGATTAGTAAACAAATCGAATAAAATAAAAACGTTACATAATATTGTGTGAAATTTGATAGCATAGGATTTAGCGTTGTAAAAATGAATTGATTTAGAATGACAAGTGGAACAAGTGAAATAATAACGGGGACAGTTCAGAATGAGAGTAGTAATACTAACAATTGACGTAATAAGTAAGAGTATACAAATTGAATAGACAAAATGAAAAAAGAAAAATTAGTAGAGCTAAAATATGTTTGGGGATTGCATACTTTAGCATAGAGGGATTAAGACCATGAAAGTTGGAGAGGTTGAACAAACGTTTTCTGTACATAGAGATCTGGCTTTTCTGTTTCGATAGCCAAAGATGGCTTCAGCAATACAGATGATTCAGGTAAGTAACGTCTTTATTTCATTCGATTTGTCTACTAATCCTATAATTGCACACCCTTTTTCAATTTCTCTCCATCCTATGAATTATTCCATATATGACATTAATTTGCTTTGCCACTTGGCATTTAACTATGATAATAATCACAAACATTTTAGTTTTTAATTGCATTTCATACTCCATTTCTTCCTGACTATTTTTTGCACAATCGGTTCCTGGTTGGTTCGCTCATCACCAGAGATCCCTGTTGCTGATCTATTCTGGTTGGCCATCTGATCTTGAGTGGCAGTGAGCGAAGACAGCTGTTGATGAAGGTCTGTAGTTTGTTTGGCTGGTGTTCCTCAAGGTGCTGTTCTTTCTCCTTTTCTGTTTCGATTTTCTTACATGAGTTGCCCCATTCTGATGTAGCCACTTTTGTTAAGTATGCCGATGACCTCTCGGTCTCTATGCCTGTCAACTCTCAGTCAGATTGTTCCAAATTAAATAACTTTCTGTCGGAAATTAGTCAGTGGTCCTCTTCAAACTGTCTTGAGCTTAATCCGTCTAAATATCAGGTAGTCAATTTCCCTTTCAGACGTAAACGTGACCTACAGCAACTAGTTAGCTCACATGGCCCCACTCTCATTGACGGCACAGAGGTTGAAAATACATCAAATGTCAAGTACCTTGGGCTGGGTATTTCCACCGATCTTTCTTGGTCTTCCCACATCTTGCTAGTTACTAGAAAGATGTTTCGTTTAACTTTCTACATTAGGAAATTTAGGCAGTCTGGTATAAAGCAATCTTTACTTTCTCAATTTGTAAATTCTTGTATTCTACCCATCCCCCTTTACTGCTCCCTATTAGTCTTTCCTGGACTACTTAAGAAAGACTTTGCTTCGCTGAGAAGGGCACTAAAAGCCATTAGTAGGGCAAGTGGGATATCGTTAAACCAACTGGTTAACACTATTGTGGATAGACATATAATGTCATGTAAGAAACTAGCGAATACAATATTGTCGGACCCCGAGCATCCTCTCTATACGCATCTATCTCCTTGCATTTCATCTGGTAGAACTAGAAGCAGCTATAGGCGGCTATATGCTAGGATTACCAAATACAAAAACTCCACAATACCATATCTGGAACAGCTGTTATGTGATGAGAAATCCGTTAGGTATGACACGATAAACTTACTGCGTCACTCTAACAAATAGTCTCATTAGTTTTTTCCTTTCCTCGTTACTATTACACTGTTGTTCTCATCTTCCACCACATATCAACTTTATATTTCAAATCCTGTGGTGCATTGTTTGAAATGTAATACTCTACGCTGTTTTTGTTTTTTTAATTTTTATTTATTTAATTTATTTATAACTTATTCATTTTATTTTTATTTATTTATCTTTGATTTTTAAAAATCTTATATAATTTATGAGGTAATTAGATGCACTATACTGTAATGCACGCTGAAAATTCCATACCTGTACCACAAATACCGTTTGGAATAAAGCTTTTATTATTATTATTGTTTGAGATGCTCTTTATGACGCGCCAAGTCTCTGATCCGTATAGTGACTTCCCATTGGTGTTGAAAGTCCGAAGTTTGTTTTTCATGCTGAGTGCTGTTGACCTCCACTCAGACTTGTGAGTAGTGAAAGCTTGTCTTGCTTTAAGGTTATGTAAATAAAGGCGGTTAGTAGTGGAGTCGAGAATTCCTGTTTTGTCCATTCCACCACATTTCAGCTGGATATTATTATTACTATTTTTCCGTTGGGTTCTAATTAAAACATAGATATCCTCCACTTCACTCCTTTTTTTACTGCTGTGTGTTTTTATAAGCTGGCTCTACGACTGTCCACAGTCTCTTATTTACTTTTCACATGATCTCCTCTGTGTCATACTCAAACCTGAAACTCGTCACTTCCCATTCGGGTCACACTCAGCAGCTTGGCGTATGAAGTCACTGACTGTATGTCCAACCCATCTCAATTTCCTTCTGCATATCTGTTAGGCGCTAGGTTCTTGACTGCTTATTTGCCTGAGAATTTTATTCTTCAGTGTATCTGGCTTATCATACGGTCTACAATATGGAGAGAAGGCAGCTGATGATGAAATTTTGCAGTTGAGAATAATGCCGGGAATGATTAATTCTCAGAACTGTTTTTTATGAATCACTTGGTTTTTGAATATGGTTTATAAATGCTTACACTCCTTAGCGTTGTAGCATTTGCCAAATTAATTCAAGGTCAACGCTGTCAAAGGCCTTGAGAAAGCTGAAGAAAAATTGAGTGAAGGTGTTTTGTAGGCCATTATACACCCTGTTCGATAACTATGAATATGTAGTCATTTGATAAGTGCACTATTTGTCTTTGTTAGCCTGTTCTATCCAATGCATCATTCAGTTTTACCACAAAATGAGGCAACTTAGTATTTAGCTTGGGATGGACAGAAGTGCAATCTTGTGGCAGTTCCTGCATAGGCTTAAGCTGACCTTCTTTGGAAATCTTACACAGTGACCTTCCTTCTAATTGGTGATAGGTTTCCTTCCTTCCCTCCAAAAATTTTGCGACAGTACATTGAGAGTGTCCACTGTGGTCTCATAGTCGGCTTTCAGAATTTCATATTGTACTCTATGTTATTCTTCTGCTTTCCAGGCGTTCAGTAACTTTATAGCTTTCAAAACTGCTGACTTCTTCTGAGGGTTGGTGTTCACTAGCAATTCTATATCTTGTGGATTAGCTGAATGAGCCTGGTTCTAAGTAAATCATACATTTACCACTTAAGATCAGAACTCACTCAAGGTGTTTCACTAGCTGATTCCAATCCCACAGGCATATGAAGACTTGACATGCTTTCTCTTGATACATTGATGAATTTTAGCATTTTGAAAGGTAATTAGCAGATGTTTATTTACTATGCAAATTAAGTTAACCGCGGAGATTTGATTTCTTGTGATTTTGTTAAGACAAGTATAAATAAACAATGTATCAACCGAATAATCCTTAGATTTAATTATAAGGCAGGTAAACAGAATAGATCAAGTAAATGAAATTAGAAGCATCGAAGAAAAATAATCACGGATTACCAATCAATCCTACTTTAGAGAATTACCCAAATTTAAAAGTGTGATGGTGTCCAAAGTCATTATCATTATTATTATAACTTGGTTATACGCCTATCTTTATAATGTCACAATTGATCAAGAAAGACAAGCATAAATGATGAACATACAGTTTGATTGTTCAGAATAGGAACGACTAAACACG